TTTTTTACCTTAAGTTATAGTACATCACAAGATAGAAATGTGACAATAGAATCACATCTCAATTAGCATAATCTCAATTTCAACAAATTCCCAACAGCTTCATCTTCAAGTCATTTATCTTGTAGTTGCCATTGGCTGATGCCAAGCATCATATGAAGCACTAACATTTGACTCTTTCGGAGAACTTCATCAATCACCTTCATGCTATCGAATTTTTTTCAAAGCAACAAACACTGAGGCATATACATTGGCTTCAAACTGTGGCGGATTGAAGGGTATCCACCCATCTTTTGGCATACAAATTACAAAAGTTTTTTATATGATTTATGTTCCGCTTGGTACGATGGAAAGTTGAAAGGATAAAAAGTTAGAGGAATAGATAAAATATCATATTTAGTTATGAAGGAAAGTAGGAATGATGGAAAAGTAGATGAATTAACTTTCCTTCCAACTCACAAAAATCAATCCCTCCAAAATCGGAAGGAAAGTGGATGGAAAGTTAATTATTTGTGTTGAGATGTATCTTATTTGTCTATATATATTATGTATACATTAATTTCATATAAAAATATAATGATAAAATATGTATATATATTAAAAAATAAATAAAAATAAAAATTTTAAATTAAAAAAAATATTTTTTTCATCTTACCTAGGGATAAAAATTTTCGACTTAATACGATGACACAACTCGAACTCAACACAAACTTGATTATAACTTGACATGAACTTGAAAATGACCTGACATGTGAAAAAGAAATATAAAAGGCTCATAATTTTATGACTCAACACGAATCTGACAAGACATGACTCGATTGTCAACTCTAATCTTAGCTATCACAAAAAAAAATTTAAAAAAAAAATTAGTCATTTTTATTGTCCATCCATCCAACCAAACACAAAGGAAGGAAAGTGTATTATTCCTACTTTTCATCCTTGAAAGATAGAAAATGTATCTCTCCTACTTTCTATCCTTCCTACTTTTCATATTTTTTACCAAACGGAGCATTAGACTCAACTGATTGAGATCATGGATCGACAAATACCTGCTAGACATGATATTAGACTTTGGTATAGAAAACCGACTTTTTGGTATCGTATCTATTTTTTGCATTCTTTTTAATAATCAATGGTTACAAATAACTCAAATTAAGGTTGAAAGGTAAGGATCATTCTTTTAGTATACGTTACAGAAATTGGATATAAATTAAATAAATTTTGACAAGATACTACTTAAATATGACACCACCCATTGTCTTCTGTCGGTTCTACTTGTGCCTTGTTCAAAGGAGTTTTTAAGGAACAATTTAAAACATTGGGCTGCTGCAAAGCAACCTAGTTTAGGTATCTTTTTGTGTCTCTTTTAGACCATCTTTACAAACAAAGGTGGATCCTTTTGTTGACCTGAGCTTTTTTTCCCATATAATGTGTAGTGGGTTAGGGTTAATAATCGAGCTGAGATATTCGGGTTTAGCTTGAATTTGATTTGTATAGGACTCAACAATTTTTTTGGCTCATTCTAAAAAGATTGACTCGTTTACATATAAAATAATTGAGCTATTTAGATTCGTTTTGAGTTCGATTCGTTTTCTAAACGAATCGAACTTGAACAAATTTTCAAGTTTTTTAGGTTCGATATTATCAATTTTAATTTGGAAAAATTTTTTTCTACAGAAATAACTGTGACGAGTATTGTTAATAAAATTCTATAAACCATCAATATTAAAAGATTGACCATGTGGAGGATAAAGAGTTACTTTGGACTTTTTATTATTTAATGGGTTTGGCCCATATTTAACAAATGGTATAAAAGTAATGTATATATTTGGGGGCCCTAAGCGGGGGTTTTAGTTGCTTATGGTCTGGGCCAGCCTAAATACCGCTCAACATGAGGCTTTGATTTAATAACTAAAAAATAAATCGACAAAAAATGCATACTTTAAAGAATAAAAATACTATTAAATCAATAAAAAAAAACCTAATTCACCCAATATATGCGATTCATAAAAGATTGTATTTCTCCCGAGTTTACACAACGAAGATGATTGTAACTCCTCTTATAACATTTAAACAAACATATAAATTAATTTGATAGACAATAATGTTTTACGATTTTTCAATATTATAAAAAATTACAAAAAAACAGTTCAAAAGAAACGTGATTGATATGCACAATTTGTAAATGATTGTGTACGCAACCTGAATTTATATAGTAGGTACGAGCTCAAAATATACGTGATTATTTAAAATGCCCGTGATTAAAATAATTATGTATTACCAAAAAAAAAAAGTGTTGTAATAACTAAATCATTAAGGCTTGGTCAACCCAATTTTTCAAAAATAGAATTCTAACCCAGCCTATGTATTGCCAATTCAGCACATGAAAAATGCCACGCAGGCAAAGGAGGGACAATGGGTGGCCCAGCGACATTATTGGGTTGACTATGTTGTACGGACTCCCCACAAATCTGTATAACTAACTCTGTCCCATTGAGTACCCATCTAACGTACCCCCCCTTCCCTCCCCTCCCCCATGCTTAATATAGCCTCTCCCTCTCAATTATCTCTATGTCTAAAACAAGCTGAGCTTTGCTCTTCTTCATGGAGTTTTTTCATTCATTGGTTTCAGTAATGAATTTGGAGCTGAGAAGAGAAGCTCCTGAGAAGCTAAGCTTTGTTTGGTCTCCGTTAATGGTGTTCTAGGGAGAAACTGGTTTGGAGTTTTTCATCAAATTAAAGAGGACAAAAGGATGTTTCAGGACATGGGTCATCCTCCGGAACAGCTTCAGATTGTAATTCTCTCTGAAACCAATCTAATCCGTGCATGTTCATGCATTGCTTCTTGTTTTTTTTTTTTTTTGGGGTGGTGGGAAGGTGGAGCAAGATCATTCATGTTTAGTTACAGATTTTTGATTATATTGTTCCCCAGAGTTTTTTGGCCATCTTTTGGCTTAAAGGAACTCAAATTTGTTAATGAGCTCATTTGCTTCTTCTTCTCTTATTCCTCCTCCTCCTCCTCTTCTCTTCATTGTTTTAATTTATATATCTGCCACTAGAGTTGATAATCGAACAAATCTAAATGAACTTCTTTTTTAAACGAATCTAAAAAAAATTATTTAAGTTCGGCTTATTTTTTAAATGAGTTCGATAAGCTCGGCTTGACTCGACAAACTCAACTCGTTTATGTGTAAATACTCGGGTTCGGCTTGACTCGAGAAACTCAACTCGTTTATGCATAAATAATAGGGCTCAACTTAGATTTGACTTGTTTTGGGCTCGTTCAAGTTCGGAGCCTGAATGAGCCCAAAATGAGCCGAACCCGATCTGAATTCAATTAACTCAGTTCAATTATCAATTCTATCTGCCACTCTTAAAGTTTGAGTCTTGACAAATTATACTCGAGATAGTTGCGTTTGTCTGTTTTTTTTTAACTTTTCTTATTTCTAATCTCATCATACTGTTTGATATTCTGTAATTATCCCTCATTAACGGTTGCTTCTCATATTTCTTTTGCTTCAGAATTGTCTCATTTTGTGTACATTTATTTTCATAGCCAAAATGATTTAAATTGGTAATGCCTCTATGTTATAATTAGACTCACTTTGAGTTTCACTCGCTATGTTATCGTTCTTGAATATTTGTAGCGTACTCGTCCTAACGCCGGAAAAAAACAAACTTTAAGAGCATATGGGAGGAAAGAGCTTTGTGTGTTAGGTACAACAAAAAGCAAGTCATTATCAGTCGATCTATCGAGCTTAATTAGGCAAGTTCAATCTTGCACCCCAAGATTGTTGACCTAATTGTTGTTTTTCTAAGAGAACTTTCATGGCAACAGTAATCTGCTAGATACAGAATCGCATAGTCAATTCCATCCACCTCTCGATTGTGGTGGAATATTTAGCTTTTCCCGTGTGTTGCTTAAGTTTTGATTTTGTTATTCAGTCAGGTTGGTAGAAGAACCTAATGTCAGCACTTTACATGTATATCTCAATGGGGTGGGGTGTTAGTGCCATAAAGTTCCCATTGTTTGTCCAATTTGGGATATTTCTCGGCAAAAGATTAGTAACTTAGTCCCTACATGTCTCATCAAGCACAAATACTCATCTTCCTCTGTTTAGCAACAATATTTTTCACCAAGAAGATCCTCTTTAGGTGAGTTTTTATCCTTTTTATCAAGGGTAAAACTACGATATTAAGCTTGGTGTGGAATTTTGAAACTATATATGGGTAAGTTATCACACATTTACGCTCAAGTTACAACTGAAAAAGGAGAAATACGACTCTATAGAGTCAAGTTACGACTCAAAAAAATTCAGATCAATTCTAAACGTAAGGTTTGGTCCAACCATGAAGGTGATAAATATATAAGAACTAGACCCTGGTCAGTCATATCAAGAGTAGTACCATAAATGCATAAACTATGAAGAAGAATGATACATGTTTGCAGAAAGAAAAGGTCATGGAGATTTGTTATTTAGATGTTCAAGTTAATCTTTACTGTTATAAAGTATGAATTGCCTGTTCATGATCTTAGTGTTTGTACTTGTTTTGCAGGAAGAAATTCCAAGCCCACTGAGTGCTCAGATTTTCGACTTCTGCGAATCTGAATTATTCCAAGAAACAATACAAAACTCTGAAGTTGCTTCTAGTTCAAATTGCTGCTATGAAGAACACTCTTGCTATCCCACATATCTTTCTGGTACATCAGACATACACAAATTTGCAAACACCACAGATATCGATGGCACCACAAAAACAGCCACCCCCACCCCCACCTCTGCTACCACCAATTCCAGCACCACCTTTATACCTAATACCACCACTACTAATAACAATGGTAACCTCTCTGCAATCTTCAACTCCCCAGAGGAGATCGAAACTGACATTTCTGCTTCCATAGACTTCACCCCCTCCCTGCCTTTTAATGTTCCTCAGCTCCTCACCACCCAACAAGGCCAGTGTGATATTCCTACATTGCATAATCAAATCCCATCAATAGATTTAGTTGATGGCATGCTCACACAACACCCTCCTCACCCGCCTGTTGTCCCTCTTTTGGGGAGACCATTACCTGCCGTTTATGAAGATGAATGCTTATCTTCAATGCCTTCTTATATGCGTGTGAATTCTTCATCTCCTTCTTGTTCTCTTCTTGATCCCACATTTGGGCCATACCTGCCAAGCAATCCGAATATTTCAGTATCAGCAGAAAATTCTGGCATTTTCAATGGAAATTTGTTCTTGGGCACCGAACTTTTGCCTCAAGAACTGGAATTTCAGGGAGAGAATGGAGGAATTTTCGGTCCAGAACCTCTGCCACGGGTTTACAATTCTAGCGATTTTCAGGTACTATCCACCAGTTTTCTTGTCAAGCATTTCTCTGGTCACCAAATCATATTATTTGGTTCAGTGTTCTTAAACTTGGAATATCAATTCATATGAGTTCTGTGAAATTCAGTGCATTGGGACATGTTGGACAAAACTGTGAATTGTATGGCTTGAGAAAATGCTAGCAAAATGGAATTCAAAAAAAAGGGAATTTTTTTCCCAGGCAATTGCTCATTTTAACCAATTATTCTATGCAACAGCACTGTCGCTCTACTCTTATGTTCTTTATTAGGGTGTGTGGTGATGGGGGGGGTCTAATTTCTTTTGTTTTTCAAGTAAGCAGAAGCTTATGTGAATCCTATTTGTGTTTGTACATTCATAACTACTTCAAAAGGCACTTAGTAATGAGAGTCAACATCTTGTGAATGGGGGTGGGAGTTCAAATCCTTTGACATCAGAAATCTCAAGTTTGGAAGATTCCACATTCAAAGTTGGCAAACTCTCTGTTGAAGAAAGGAAAGAGAAGATCCATCGATACATGAAAAAACGGAATGAGAGGAATTTCAGCAAGAAAATCAAGGTCTCTCTCTCACCCTCTCCCTCTTCCTCTTCCTCTCCCTCTCCTTCTCACTCACTCACACAATAATGTTGCCATTATCAAGCTTATATCATCCTAATTTTATCTACATAAATCTGATTTTTACTTGGTGCTGTATGTTCCATTGATCTGTCACAAGTTCATAAGTCCTATTGATACTTCTAGTCATTCTTACCAACATGACAGAATCAATATTTTTCTATTTATAAATGAATTTGAAGAGTTAAGCTCTCACAAAACATAAAAAAATCCAATGTGCAGTATGCATGCCGCAAAACACTAGCAGACAGCAGGCCTCGAGTCAGAGGAAGGTTTGCAAAGAACGATGAATTTGGAGAGGGCACTAGAACCACTTGTAGCAACCATGAAGAGGACACAGATGAAGATGTAAGACATTATTCATATATGTGACCTATATCATCAAATATTCTATGTGCTATGTTTATAAACAACAAGTAATCTATAGCAAGAACATTTTCAAATGGCATGAATGAGTCCATTGTTTTCTTGACATTTTTTGTTCTCTAATCTCTCCTTGTTCCTCAATGAGTCAATTCTTTTTCCTAACAGGTAGTTGTGAAAGAGCAAGAAGATATTGTTGATTCGTCAGATATCTTTGCTCATATCAGTGGTGTGAATTCCTTCAAATGCAACTACTCCATCCAATCTTGGATTTGATCAGTTTTGCAATGTGAGGTCTTTTCTACAATTTAGCAGGACCCTGTTTGAGCAGGATTTTTATCGATCCTGGAGTAAGTATTAGATGAATAATCGGGTCACTATGGTTTATAATAATCGACTCAATAGTTTGTAGCACATGAATGACAGTGTAATTTTTGTATATATAACACTTTAATTATGTGAATTTTGACTTGTTGGATTGTACTAAACTCAAGCATTTCACTTGCTAGAGGTATAAGTTGAAGCAAGTCTGGTTGTCTTTGTTGTTTAGTTTTTGAGCCATTTTTATATCCAAACATATAGATGATGCAGAGAGCACAGATTTCTTTAAAGACATAGATGCATTCTTTGGTGCATGGGCAATCGGGTTATACTTTGATTGGATCGATGAAGAGATTAGTTGATGTGCGCATAAGTTGGCTTGAATACCCTTGAACAAAAAAAAAAGGGCTATCGAGTTATGATTTTTTCGCCCAAATCTGTTCAATGTATAGAATACTTTTTTTGGGCGGGGCTTGGGTTGTGTTGGGTTCAAGGGCAGAGCCGCATAGGGAGAAGGATGGGCAATTGCTCCAATGGTGACACCACGTCGCCACTGCAACGTGGTGTCATCATCCAATGAGAAAACTACAAGTGGACAAAGTGAACTTTACTATTTTTCATAACTATCTGTAACTACCACATCCTATCATCAACACAAAGGATTAGTGGGGTTCACTATATCAACTTTTCATTTTCTAATTGGAAGGTGACATCATGTAGCAGTGATGATCTGGTGTCACCGTTGTATCGAATATTTTTTTGAGTTTTTGAATCCCCTTTTTATTTATGTACTACTTATTGTCTCTGCCTCAAGGTGCAGAGTAATAGAAAAATTTTCAATTATAAACATATTTGAATTCACACTTAAAATTAAATTACAAACATAAAGGTGAAAGAAATGAATTTAAAAATCGGTTGCAGTGGAGGTGAGTGATAGTGGTGTGGGTGGTGGTGGGCGACAGTGACGATGCTTGGCAGTGGTGATGGTTGGGTGACGACAATAATGGGTGGTGATGATGGTAGTGACGGTAGACAACGACGAGTGCATGTGGGTGACAATGGTGATGGGTGGTGGCGAATGGTGGTGATGGAGGTGGGTAATAGTGAGTGGCAGCAGTGATAGGCAATGACTGATGATGGTTGTAGATGTGGTGGGAACGGGTGACAGTGGGTGGCGACAGGTGATGGTGGGTTGTGGTAGTGCATGGCAGTGGGTAATGGTAGTGGGTGATGGTTGGCAACAATAGTGATGGTGGCAAACGACGGTAGTTGTGGGATAATGATGATAGTAATAATAAATATAAAAATAAGATAACGATGATGATGGTGGTTGTGGTAGGGGTGGTGGTGGTAGTGGTGGGGTTGCGATAGTGGTGAAGTGTTTTGTACATAAGTAATTTTAAAGAAATAAAAGTTTTTTTTTTATTAATATTACTTACTTATTTTAGTGGTAAAACTACTTTTGATTTATTTGGAAGTAATAAAATAAGTTGTTCCAAACATTACCTTTTTTTTTTTTAAAGTGTTTATAAGAAGTTATAAGTTCTAAGATTTCCTTTTATAATAGATTGTATATGCCTGAAGTTAGGATTAATGAAGAGGAATTTAGGTTAATTCCAATTGCTGAAAAATGAAGCGTGTAAATGTGGACATTTATATTGTAACGTAAAAATTGGGCCTAGCCCGACGACTAGTGGGTGACCAGCCACCGCGATCCTGATTGAACAAGGCCCGTGGATCAAGCTTTTCAATTGGATTGTGCCCATAAGATAGCCTAAGTACTTCTTTGACCAATTTAAGCCTTCATGGAGAGGAAACATTTTTTTTAATAAATAAAAATATATATATTACTACTTATAAATGTAGAATCTGTGAAAAAATTTTAATTTCTTTTATTATTCCCAATTATTATGATAAATTTAATTATATTTATTTATATATTTTCATCTAATTTTTATTTTTTACTTTTATTTAACTTGTAACTTATGTGAACTCGTTTATTAGTAATAGAGTTACATATAATTTTATTTATCTATATGAAGAAATAAATTCTTAAATATGTTAAATTATTATACACATGTAATTAGCAAATTGAATTCCACTGTCAAATATATGTTATATTTTATTTTTTAATATGTAATAATATAATAATATTATAAACTATCTAATCAATCTATTTAATAAAATAAAAAGAGATTCCTAAATAAATGACAGATTAACTCCTAAAAAATTTAATAGAATAAAATAATAATTAAAATATGAATGAATTAATTATTTGACGCCTAATTTATTATTTAATTTAATTACACATATAATTTATGTTTATAAAAAAAATTATGTAAATTTGTTTACATGTAACGCACGTCGTGAGTTACTAATATAATTAAATATTTATACAATAAAATTAAAACCTTTATGTTCGTAATACGAGATTTTCTTGGAAATATGTTGGATGGCATGTCACTAAACATTGATGAATTTTATTAGAGTGTCAACGCAGTGTGAAAGGTTATGATTCGACATTTGGCCTTGATTCCTAATGCTTGATTAGGATGTAATGTGCATATGACTTGAATACGATGTAATGTGCAANTACTTATTTTAGTGGTAAAACTACTTTTGATTTATTTGGAAGTAATAAAATAAGTTGTTCCAAACATTACCTTTTTTTTTTTTAAAGTGTTTATAAGAAGTTATAAGTTCTAAGATTTCCTTTTATAATAGATTGTATATGCCTGAAGTTAGGATTAATGAAGAGGAATTTAGGTTAATTCCAATTGCTGAAAAATGAAGCGTGTAAATGTGGACATTTATATTGTAACGTAAAAATTGGGCCTAGCCCGACGACTAGTGGGTGACCAGCCACCGCGATCCTGATTGAACAAGGCCCGTGGATCAAGCTTTTCAATTGGATTGTGCCCATAAGATAGCCTAAGTACTTCTTTGACCAATTTAAGCCTTCATGGAGAGGAAACATTTTTTTTAATAAATAAAAATATATATATTACTACTTATAAATGTAGAATCTGTGAAAAAATTTTAATTTCTTTTATTATTCCCAATTATTATGATAAATTTAATTATATTTATTTATATATTTTCATCTAATTTTTATTTTTTACTTTTATTTAACTTGTAACTTATGTGAACTCGTTTATTAGTAATAGAGTTACATATAATTTTATTTATCTATATGAAGAAATAAATTCTTAAATATGTTAAATTATTATACACATGTAATTAGCAAATTGAATTCCACTGTCAAATATATGTTATATTTTATTTTTTAATATGTAATAATATAATAATATTATAAACTATCTAATCAATCTATTTAATAAAATAAAAAGAGATTCCTAAATAAATGACAGATTAACTCCTAAAAAATTTAATAGAATAAAATAATAATTAAAATATGAATGAATTAATTATTTGACGCCTAATTTATTATTTAATTTAATTACACATATAATTTATGTTTATAAAAAAAATTATGTAAATTTGTTTACATGTAACGCACGTCGTGAGTTACTAATATAATTAAATATTTATACAATAAAATTAAAACCTTTATGTTCGTAATACGAGATTTTCTTGGAAATATGTTGGATGGCATGTCACTAAACATTGATGAATTTTATTAGAGTGTCAACGCAGTGTGAAAGGTTATGATTCGACATTTGGCCTTGATTCCTAATGCTTGATTAGGATGTAATGTGCATATGACTTGAATACGATGTAATGTGCAATGATTCCAATACAAAAGTCGTAATTATTTAATTATGATCTAAATTTTTATACCTTTTTTGAAAATGCGTGTAATAGAGTTTTCTTCAACTTTTGATCGCGTGATCTGAAATAATTTTAGAGAAAATTATCAAGAAATATTTTTTTTTTTTACAAATATTCTTTAAATTCTATCATTTTTGTTTTATATTAATGAAGTTCTATTTTTGATATTTTATTTCAATTAAGACTTAATTCTATTATATTCCAATTTTATCATTTCTCTTTAGTTACTAAAACTATTTCATTTTTTTACATTCTTAGAATCAATTAATAGAATATTGTAGATTTTACATCAATATTAATTTAAGTTAATTCTTACCAAAATCATATTCTATTAATTTATATTGGATTTAAAATGATTAAATTAGAGATTTATTTTAGTTGTCTTGTTTGAATCAATAACGACATTAAAATGAAATTAATCGACAAATATTGTCAATTTAGTTTTTTTAACCTTTCTTATTTTATTAAATAATCGACAAATATTATTTCGAGTTTTAATTTTAGATACCCTAATGAGATAAAAAAATAAGAAAATGTGAGCATTCTTTGGATCCTACCATGAAATTTATGTTATTTGAGTTTTTTTATGGGGTTTCGGTGTTTAATTTTGTAAGCAAGGAATTTTTGTCCTCTTAATTGGTGTTAAGAATGCAAAATAATGAAAGAATTTTTGGTAACTAAAGGGTAATGATAAAATTGGGATATAATAGAATTTAAGACTTAATTGAAATAAATATCAAGAATAAGACTTTATTGATATAAAACAAAAATAGTAGGACTTAATAGATTTTTGCGGGGAAAAATAGTATTTATTGTTTATTTTCCCATAATTTTAGGTTGTAAGGCCACAAAGTGGGAAGAGTTTGGCAAAATAGTTAAAAAATGAGTAATATTATTTAGACTTAATTTTACTGATCTAATTCATTACAATGAATCAACATCGACATGTCAAACGACTCCATTGATAAGAGTTTTTTAGAGTAATCAGCCTGTTATCCTTGGGATGAGTTGTACCTTTGATCCGTTGAGTAAGAGTCCTTCTAACTTTTACTTTTGTTGGACTAATTAGACTCATAGTTAAGCACACTTACACATTTACGCTTACGGACAGACACTCAACTTGAGCCTACCTCTTTGATGCAGCAATAGATTAGAAGCAAATCTCAATGTTTGATGGGAACTATTGCCTATTCAACAATTCTAGGAAATTATATCAGTAAATTAAGTTTAAATAGACAATTATAGTGAATTAATTTAACAAATTAAATTTAAATAAAATTGGTGGTTGAAAAATAGAACTTAGAATGGTGGGTAGCTAAAAAAAAATGTGGACTTTGACGAAGAATACAGAAATCAAACAAAAGCTCCTTGTTCATTTTTCTAAAGGTTGTTGGCCTAATGGCTTATACAACAACAAATGTTTCCCCATCACTCAAAGTTTTGATCGAAGATTCACCCACTTTAGACTAGAATGGTCCATATTACAATTCATTTGGTCCCACTTCCTACATTTTTGAATACCGTAACTGTCAGGAATGTGGAATTCGGAGCAGTTAAAGTTACATAACTACTCCTAGGAGGGTTGAAAAAACAACAAACAAATAGGCCTAGACTACCCATCATGAGTACGAAATTTGATAAATTTTTTGAGGTTTATGAATTTTTTAGTACGGATATAGATGACTTATTTTTGAACAGATTGAATAGGAGATTAGTTGAAATATACGTAAATTATCTTAAATATATTAAATTTGTTATTAAAAAATTTATACTTTTCAATCATGACACCGTAAAAGGACACGACCACCATTCTCAAGCAGGCTAACGATAAGAAAAAAAAAAAAAAAAAAACTTGGCTTTGTGTTCCATTTCATATACATGGCACATGGACCATGGTTGTAAATAGCGATACAGCCCGTTTATGGCGCCGCACAAGCAATAAATAACTGGGATAACATGAGAATAACATGACCACATTTAATATCACCACCATACATACTTTACATTAAATTTATTTCTTTAGTTTTTTTTTTTAAAACTTACGATACGATCTCAAGGGAATTATCAAAATTTAAAATTCAAGATGTCTGAATTTATAACTCATTATTGTATGATCCGCAAACTATGAAACTGAGATTGGTTTTATCATTTCCTTAATTCTCACTTTTGTGTACATAGGATTCATATATGAATCATATTCACACCCGTATTTGGTAAGTAACACGTACAAATGTGGGACCCACAAATTTATTATAATTATCAACATATATTTGTTTTGTAAATGATTATATTATCCATTAATCAATCTAATCTATAATCATGTTTGTTTAATTACATAGATGAGTAATTGGAGGGAGAGGAGAGGGGAGGGGAGGAGAGGGAGGGGAGGGGTGGTTAAGATGTGATTTGTTAGATAAAATATTTTATTAGGAATAGATGGGTTGTTTGACAGAGTTAACCTAGGATATATATCAAAGTCACCCCTTGAGTTTGCCCAAAGCCATGTATGCAGGTTTAATACACCGGGCTACTTACAGGCTAGGATATGAATTTCTAGAGTTTAAAATTGTTAATCAAACACGGGATTACTAGATATATTAGACTATGTTTCTTAAACCCCAAACCAAATAAACAAACATGCCCTAATAATTTTTGAAATTTGTTCTTTTCAAGGTTTATCTAAAATTGTAAATATTATAGATTTTGCCCATTTTAGTTTATGTAATCTATTATTTTCGTTGAAGACTTCCTTTTATACTCATCTTTCATAGCTTGCATAAGAAAATTACATATATACACTCACATATAAATATATTTCAAGTTAAATGGTAGAAGGTTTAGAAAGTCTTTTCTCTTAAAATGTTAAATTCTCTTAATTTTAAATTGTTTAATATCGCGAACCCTTCAATTAAAGAAAAATGTTATTTAAACTTGAAAAATATACTTGATAATCACAACCATTAAATAAGTAGTGAATCACAATAAATTTTGGAACTTATAGTGAAATAAATGATTGTGATTATCAACTATACATTTTAAGTTTATGTAATGTTGCTCCCAATTAAATTATGTAAAAGGGCATATGTAACCCGTTGCACCATTTTTGTTAACTATTACTTATTTAAAATTCTTACCATAATTGTTAACCATTTACATTTATTTTTTTAAAATTTCAATTGGCACGTTAATGAATAATTTTCTATTGATATTAAAATGACGGTGGAGGTAAGAGTGACAAGTGAGAAATATAACAATTTTTGTGTGTGATGGGTAATATATGTGCGTGATCTAATTATGATATTGTATTTAACACATAATTTTTTTATTATTTTATAATTTTTATAATCAACATACTTTGTTTTTGTGCGTCCGATAGACTTATCCTATGTATGTATGTATATCAAGTAAGAAGTCACATTTATACTATTAACAAAGAGAGATGAGACGATTTCATGGCGGCCTCTCAAAATGTGCATATTACTCTCTCTATTATCTCTACACGTAAACTATTTGAATTGCCTTTTCATATCTTCATAAATTGCCACTCAATTCTTTTTTTAACTTTATCTAATTGCCTAATTCTCTATGGTAAACCATATATGCAATGTGTGAACCGTTGAGAAAGAGCAATGGTACTTTACTTAATATATAAACTGAATTAATTATTATTATTAATAATTTAATTTAATTGAATTTTAATGAGATTTACTATTAATTTAATAATTATAATTAATTAGATTAAAAAATTGAATATTTTTTAGAAATCGTGGGTTAAGAAATCAAGGTCTTTTCTTTAAACTTCGTTTGTTTAACGGGAGAATGGTAGAAAATGCAAAAAAGATAATTTTTTAAAAATTTTAATGTGTTTGGTAAGCTTGAAAAGGAAAATGATAAAAAAAAATAATTTTCCTTTTGAATTTTTTCACAAATAATCAACTTTTCTTTCTTGTAAAAAACACAAGGAAATGCAAGAAAGCTATGATTTATAACTAATTTCCTATTTTACCCTTATTTTTCTTAAAAATATTTTATTAGTTATTAATTTTTAAAAGATTTGGTATGAATTTAATTAATCATATAATTTGGCCCAAAAACCTTTGTGTTGGTGATTGTCTTAGAATTAAGTTTTGAGCCACTTTCTAAAAAAAAATTAATGTTCAATTGTAATTACATATTTTTTTTCTTTTTAGGCCAATTTAATATAATTAAGGATAATTATAAAAAAAAATTATAACTGTACTTTTTTTCAAACAATAAAATTAAAATTTTTAAAATTTTTCTATAAATTTTTCATTCTAATCAAATATATGCATAAACGTATATTTTTTAATCATTTTTTTTTCACTTCAATTTCTATTTTTTTCTTCTAAGCTGACCGATGCGTCTGTTTTATGTTTGTGTCTATGAGGGTCGCCATAGTGCAGGATAGACTCCAATACCTATCGTGCGTACCAGCTCATTGCATTTTCCTCCCACTTATAAGTTGCCATTTTCATATCTTTATGTCTTGTCTCTGCGGCAATGCATTGAGGGTTTGATTGGACCATGAAAGTGCAACATTCGAAACAAGCAGGACCCACCAACTTGTACCCAAAATTTGATGTTTAAGAATTAAATGTTAGCCAAAATTTTCAAAACTAAACGTGGCTTACGCCACCCATTCTCAGTTACTTTTGCTTGCTTCTATCCAGAATTGTGATTATGAAACAGTTGGTAGGCTTCTTTCTTTGAACCCATTTTTCTTTTTTGTTCCATAATGACTTTTAGCTCTCAATAGCCTCCCTTATCTTTGTTAGTTATCAGTTTTTGCTTTGTGGGCTAGGCTCATAACTGGGTTTTGAGAAGTTTTCTTTATTGGGTTTGAGCTGTTTCTAATCTGCAGGTGAGGTATAGCTTGCTCTGGGTACTGGGTTCTAGTCGGTTTGATTGTTTGATCCTGTTCTTCTGGTATGAAAAAGTCATTTTCTATCTGTTGGGTGTTTTGTTTATGACTGTCAATCATGTAATTGTGGATTGATTGACATATAAACTTGATTTGCTTTCATTTATCTTTAATGTTCTCTTGGAAGTGACACCAAATAAAGGGATAGGATTACTTAGACAAGTTTTGTTCTTCTCTTTTTTTGTATTATATATTTTTAGATTTTTTTTTTTTATTGATGCAAGCTATATATACTAGGCAATTTGATTTTTTCACTTTCTGTTCCTTAGTGTTCCAGTGGGTTGTGAATAGTATGATTAGATACTTTGTATTCCAGATTGATATATTTTGTGATTCTGCTACTTTTCAAACCGACCTTAATTCTGCACTCGGATATTGCAATCGCATGGACAATACATTCTTTTCTAATGGAATTTCATGTTCCAGGTTTTAAATTGTTGTCACTTCCCAAAAACCTTGCATTTTCTGCACTACTCATTTTGATATTAATTATTTGTTTATCCTTGACAATCTGACACCAAGAAACTGCTTGGAGGTGTTTATTTTGTTCTCTGACGATGGATTTGAACGAACTTCATGTATTGCATTTGATGCGAACGTGTTGAAAATATCAAGTGAATTAGAAACATTGACTTCTGGGGAGATGGACATTCTGTTTGCATGACCTGATTTTTCTTTTTATGTTCTTATGATTACCCATTGGATTACAAATTAAACAGAACAGATCAACTTAGGTATTGAGTTCAATTTTTTCTCTGCAAACGGGATTCACCTCTTAGGTTGCTCCGTCATCCTGTTGATTTTCATTTATGTTCAAAGGATGAGCACTTCCATAAGTTTTGGCTGAGAATCGAATTGAAAAGATCCAGTGGTTTATTTAGCTTTGAAGACCACCTTCTCAGTAGCAGCAATTCCATTAGAAATAACTTCTAGCTTTCTTATCTTTTTGATACGTACTTCCTTTTCGCGATTTGTTAGCGCTAACTATTTTTGTCACTTAATTTCCAGATTCCCTGTGAGAATTGATTGCAAGATCCATCGGTCAATACTGTGCAGTCTGTCATTTTTGAGTTTTTTTCACAGCTGAAGTAGTAGACAAAAGTATTTTGCCTGCCTTCTAGGTCTGATCTGCTGGAGGAAGAAGATGGAGAAATTGATTGTCAATGCAGAGAAAGGAGGCCAAAAGAAAGAAGATCATAGTGAAGAAAATAGTTTGTCCAAAAAATTAGTAAGAAAGGAAGAGCCAAAGCATGTATTGCTTCTAAATTCAAGGAAATCACAAATCAATGAACTTTGCAGCCAGGAACTGTTCCTTAAAATCATTCATAGTTTAGATGATAGGATTCCAAAGCGTATTACGAGTTTTGATGAAAGATACGTTCATCGTTGCCTGGAATTGATACGTAACTGCGCCTTGAGAGCAGCCTCATGCAATGTCTATCCAGAGATGGGTGTTTGTTCAAGAGAAATTAGTAATAGAGTTTGCTGTGATTTGGCTAATTTAGTTATTGAATGTCCTTTGGCTGCTGGGGCCGAGGAATTTGTCATAACCTCGACTGGCGATTGGATTCTTGGTATAATCAATGAGAGTACTAGTATGGTGAACATTCTAAAGAGCCCTTTAGTTTACCAATTGGGTGTCTTAGATTGTGATGTCAACTTTCGAGGAACAAGTTCCAATTTTATAAGCTCTTCTGATGGTTTCAGTATCAGTTCATCGCAGAAGTTACAAAAAGAGATGGTGATTCTTGGGCATCATATATATGAATCTGAGCCTGCACACAAAAGGCTTGTTTCTGTATCGAGCACAACCTCAACCTGCACAGAGCAGTCTTCTTCTTCTGCATCTGTCACTGCTTTTTCTCAGGGAATGCTCCAGTACACATGGAAGGATGGGTTTCCACATTACAGTTTCTCTGTAGATGATCAGAGGGAGTTTTATGTAGCCAACTTGTTTAAGGCTGAGTCACTGGATGACAAGGTTGTGGATTATATGTACATGTTTCACTCAAGAGCAGATGGCAAAAAAGTACGTGACATTAGTGAGGACGAGTCCTATCTTGTCGGTAAAATGAGAGTCTCAACTTCTACTACTCTCTGTCCAAACAACTCGGAAGTAATTGAGACTCAGTTTGTGCTGTTTGGTTCTGATGATAGTTGTGTGACAGAGATGCAAACTTCAAGCCATACCCTTAGGAAGAACAAGGGGTTGCCTAAGAAGATGGTGGATGTATTCAAGACAAGTCAGTCTCATATGAAGAGAAGTCTCTCCAAATTTGGGGGATCAAATGTCATACGTGAAAATTTTTCTTTGGAGCCATGCCACGATTCACACGAGTCTAGTCCAGGTAAGGCCAATCTTTCGGATATTCATTCTCCTCCAAATTGTGAGTTGGCTGCCATTGTTGTAAAAGATCATGTTCATTACGATCATAACGAAGCAGAAATTGGAGGGTGGGGTTTAAAATTTCTCAAGAAAGCTGGGATTAACCAAACCAATGCATCACTAGAAACCTCAGTACCTTCTGAATGCTGTCAACGAAATAGTGGTGATTGCTCTACGAGTATGGAGATTCTAGTTCCCGCGGGTTTTCATGGTGGTCCAAGAACCAGAAGTGGTGGCCCTTCAAGCCTCATTGAGAGATGGAACTCTGGTGGTTGCTGTGACTGTGGTGGCTGGGACACAGGGTGCCCACTCACTCTACTTCACAATAGGCCGAGCAAAACCCAAGTTTCACCTCAGGCAGATATTCTTGATGAATGCAAAGCATTTGATCTCTATATACAGGTTTGTCAAGTGACTTCTGCACTCTATTTGCTCCACTACGCAACAATCAAAATTTATTTTCAATGCAAAATTTTGGACCTTTGGTTAGATCGGAAGTAAAACAGTAAAGTTTTGGAAATGTTTCAGAAATGTGTCAGATGCATACACAGAGAAATTTTGCATTTTTGATTCAAAAAAATTGTTCGAAACATTCTAAAACATTCTGGAAGCACTGAACACATGGGAATTTTAACATTTTGGTGTAAACGAAACGAAATTTAGATACTTGCCCCGGGATGATTTGAACAATTATCTTACTGAAGGCTTCTAGCTGCATCCATAGAAGTTCCATGATGCTTTTCTTTTTTTTTTTTTTTTGCATTTAAAGCTGAATAATAATCATCACAGCCAATGATGCTTTTCTTTGAAACTTTGAAGTTTCCCCCATTCATAATCTGTTATTTTTGAACATTTATGACATCAATTTTCAGTAACACATTGGCATGACCATGGATCAACTTTAATTTTTTGCAGGGTTCAAAGCAAGGTACCCCAGTCATGAGAATGGTCAATATCCATGATGGTTTGTATTATGTTCATTTCCAGTCAAGTCTCTCAGCTCTCCAGTCTTTCTCCATTTCAGTGGCAATTATTCATACTCATAATCCAAACCTCCGACCCAAAGTGTACAGGAGTTGCAATTAGAAAATCTATGGGTGAGGTTTCTGTAGTGTTTTCAAATTAAGTTATTTGTAGGTGGATTGAGATGTTAGTGAGTCTGCATTATTGGCAGTGTTCCAACGCTAGTGATTTTTTTTTTTGATGTTTAAAAAAAGGGTGGGACAAAGAAGAGCGTCCGTAAACCATCCCGATAGGGCCTCATTGGTGAGATTATGAGGTCCCTGATTGCGCCCATTACTCCAATGCTGATGATTACTTGTTTGGTAGGTGGATTGAAAGATGAAAAGGTGAAAAATAGGAGTGATGCAATTTCTATTTTTTAAAGAAGGAATTTTTCATTCTATCCTTTGTGTTTAGTAGGAAAGATTGATTTTTTTGTATTTGGTATGAATAAAAAGTGGAATGAAAGAAAAAATATAAATGCGTATTTTATCATTGTGTTTGTATATGGAATTAATGCACATGATACGTAATAGATAAATAAGTTATATGCATATATTGAGGGATATAAAGGTAAATAACATACATTTCAATACTCAATTCTGCATTGACCAGTGAAATGAATGTGGAAACGCAAATGTATAGGCCTAACCTAAAGCGGACAATATTGTACAATGCGGGTTTGGGGTGATACACATAATAAATTTTTCATTCACTTTTCCTTCCAATTTTGAAGGAAATCCATCATAAAAAAATAAAATAAAATTCACTAACACTAGCAATATGAATTTCAAGGAAAAATATAAATCTTGACCCAATATTTCCCCCGGAAATCTTATTACTAGTATTAGGCAAAATACTTAAAGGGTAAATTTGTGACTTTACAGATAAAGCAAGCAAAAGGAAAATCACATAAANTTTTTTTTTTTTTTTTGCATTTAAAGCTGAATAATAATCATCACAGCCAATGATGCTTTTCTTTGAAACTTTGAAGTTTCCCCCATTCATAATCTGTTATTTTTGAACATTTATGACATCAATTTTCAGTAACACATTGGCATGACCATGGATCAACTTTAATTTTTTGCAGGGTTCAAAGCAAGGTACCCCAGTCATGAGAATGGTCAATATCCATGATGGTTTGTATTATGTTCATTTCCAGTCAAGTCTCTCAGCTCTCCAGTCTTTCTCCATTTCAGTGGCAATTATTCATACTCATAATCCAAACCTCCGACCCAAAGTGTACAGGAGTTGCAATTAGAAAATCTATGGGTGAGGTTTCTGTAGTGTTTTCAAATTAAGTTATTTGTAGGTGGATTGAGATGTTAGTGAGTCTGCATTATTGGCAGTGTTCCAACGCTAGTGATTTTTTTTTTTGATGTTTAAAAAAAGGGTGGGACAAAGAAGAGCGTCCGTAAACCATCCCGATAGGGCCTCATTGGTGAGATTATGAGGTCCCTGATTGCGCCCATTACTCCAATGCTGATGATTACTTGTTTGGTAGGTGGATTGAAAGATGAAAAGGTGAAAAATAGGAGTGATGCAATTTCTATTTTTTAAAGAAGGAATTTTTCATTCTATCCTTTGTGTTTAGTAGGAAAGATTGATTTTTTTGTATTTGGTATGAATAAAAAGTGGAATGAAAGAAAAAATATAAATGCGTATTTTATCATTGTGTTTGTATATGGAATTAATGCACATGATACGTAATAGATAAATAAGTTATATGCATATATTGAGGGATATAAAGGTAAATAACATACATTTCAATACTCAATTCTGCATTGACCAGTGAAATGAATGTGGAAACGCAAATGTATAGGCCTAACCTAAAGCGGACAATATTGTACAATGCGGGTTTGGGGTGATACACATAATAAATTTTTCATTCACTTTTCCTTCCAATTTTGAAGGAAATCCATCATAAAAAAATAAAATAAAATTCACTAACACTAGCAATATGAATTTCAAGGAAAAATATAAATCTTGACCCAATATTTCCCCCGGAAATCTTATTACTAGTATTAGGCAAAATACTTAAAGGGTAAATTTGTGACTTTACAGATAAAGCAAGCAAAAGGAAAATCACATAAATTATTTCACTTCCACATGGACATGACACATTTCATGACAAACATTCTCAAGAAGATTCCATTCTCAGCTGAATTGAATGGAATCTCAGAGAGACCAACCTAAGCTATTCCATTATCGCTACTACCATTGTACCATTGTTGGTCACTATAGACTAAAGACTTGGGTACCATAGTATGCCTCCATTCATTCCATCATTAATTTTGAATTGAATGATTTATAACCATGAATTGAAAAAATAATGTAGTAATAAAAGATAATAGTCTAAAATTTTTACACGTGACGCATTTTTATTGAATAAAAAGTAAAGATACGGTATTGAAAGTATCCTACTCTAAAACTAAATTTCAAACTCTGTTAGAGAAATCACAATTTAAAAATAAATGATTATGAGTCTCTTGGGTGTAATCAAAAGGGTTTTTTTTTTATCTAATCACAACATGTTTGATTTGATCCATAACTATTGACCTAAAAAAGGGTTGAACCCATTACTATAATTTCACCGAGATGTAAGCGACCACTCAACCCCCTTTCAATAGTATCGTTTCATCATCTTCTACGAGACAATTTTTTACCAGTAACAAAAAGGGGAAAGTTTTCACATTTCTGATAATTACAAAGTCAAAAAATATAATAATTATGAAATCAAGTTAGTTTTCTTTTCAAGGATTATTAATTAAAAGAATTATTAATCTGTTCAACATTTAAAAAAAATAAAAAAATAAGAGTCAACCATAGTAAACCTTGTACTGAAAATAGTCACTGGACCTTTCGTTGCAGTTTATTGGATCATACCACAGGTGGAAGTACAAAGTCTGGAAAAGAATAAAATAAAATCCTCTTTATAGAGATCACCGACAAGTCGGGTACAGGGACCTTTCACAAGGATCCCATGAGTCTTCTTTTTGGTGGGTCCCATCTCCTCGGCGATTTAATGTGACGTAGATGTAATTTGTAAGTTTTAATATTAAATAGAGTTTACTTTTAATTCAAGTGTTATAATTAATTAAATCTCTAAATTAGATTAAAATATTTTTTTTACTAAATTTGGGGCCTAATACATTTTGATATGTACAATAAAGAGTTAAATGAGGGTATTTATTAAATTAGTCTAAGAAGATGAAGCCGGACTCGTGGCTCGTATACAGGGGCGGGGCTACCCTTGGACCAGGGTGGGTTCGTGCCCCTCAATTTTTTTTTGATATTAGATATATATTTTTTTAAATAAAATTTAGATATATTTAATTGTGCCTACTCTCAATTTTTTTTTTTTACATTAGATATATACTTTTAAAAATAAAATTTAGACATATTTAATTGTATCTATCTTATTATTGTGTTATTGTGATATCGAATAAGATAGACAACTATTTAAATAATAATTAATTTTTAAATAATATTATTAGAACTAATACATTATGATATTAAATCTAATAGTGAGTTCTTACATTTAATAACATCTATTTTCCATCAAATGGTCACAAACCATTGGGTTACTATCAATTAAATTTTGAATTTTTTTTAGTTAAGATATCAAATTAAATTTCGAATTAGATGTAATTACTATTATTCTTAAATTTTTAGACACATACTTGTCCGAATAATTATTAGACATATCGCGGTCATTTTTCTAAATTGTAGGATTATTTTGTTAATGTATAGAAATGAGCGTCATTATGTAATAAATTATAAGGTAATAAATGAAAGATTGTTATTACCATTTTGTATACAAGAAAAAAATATTTATTGATATCATTGATTTATAATTCTTTTAAATGATAAACAAAAATCAAATTCAATTGTAAAATGATAATAATTAGTCTCATACAAAGTTTTAATTAATTTGCTTTTATTTTTTGTTTGTTCATTCCATACAAATCGTTTTTTAACTTTTTATGTTTAACGAATTTTTACGCATAATTATAGTAATATATGAATTTATGAACTTCTGTGGTCAATTGAAAAAAAAAAATAAAAATTTTGATCTAATTTGATGACATAATTCAATGTACCCTTTTAATTGAAAATATACTTTGTCTAACGTTGAAATTTATAACTAAAATAACGTTGAATTAAGTCTATAACCTGATAAAAAAAAAATTAAGTCCATAACATTGATAAAAAAAATTAAAATTTATTAATGTGCCTACCCTAAAGTATTTTTCTAGTTCCACCCTTGCTCGTATATTGACTTTCTATGACAAGTACACGAGAGCTATAAGACTATAACTAAAGATCATATAACACCACAATATATACAATATACAAACTTAAATTGGTACGAAACACTTCTCTCTTTATCTAGTGGGTAAAAACACAAAAAATGTTGGGGGTGAACCAAAAATTTTGGATAAAGTCGAATCTAAGTGTTGGCTAGGTAAACATCGACAAATAAGCAAAATAGTTATAAATCTTATAGACCATCTCTCGGAGGTGGTGAAAGGAGAGCCTCAATTGATAGAAAAAAAACTCCACTTTATTGGCTATAATAATTTGATAGGTGTAAACCTACTCTTTTAACACTCTGAACATAGAGATCTCGTGCAAATAATTATACGCTTTAACAAATATATAAATGATTTATGTGGATATCTGTTTTATTACATGTTAACTTGTCATTGATTCCTAACAGAGTTGACAAATGTGTGAAAAATATGCTACATATGGGTAGTTATGGTCACTGTAAGCACCATTACGCTTTTCCCTCTTACATACCACTGGGGAAGGGACGTCTGTGAAGACAGACTGCAGAGACCCCCTTTGTTATATCAAGTGGGACACTCATTCCTGAGCTCTCCTCTCTCCTCTGTCCTCTCTTGTTTTCTCTCTCTCTGGGTTTCTTAAGTGAAAAGTAAAGTTCCTTCACAGGTTAGTGTTCTTGTCTCTCATCAAGGCAAACAATGTTTATAGTTTTGAAGAAAGCTTCCAGTTTGAGATAAAACCGTAGTGGGTCTCAAGGGTTTTGAGGGTTTTTTGCATTTGGAGTCTCATGTTTTCAAGTACTATAGAGCTTTCCAATTACCATATTCATGGAGTATGACCCGGTAACGTTACACCTCTTTTGTAGTCATCTCTGCTATATTCTCTCTCTCTCTAACTCATATTCAGTTTATTATGTGACTTTGGGGTCTCTGCAACTCAACCCTAAAAAAATGGCATCAAAGAATAAAGGGTGTTTATGGTTGGCCACCTTTTACCATATTTGTTTATCTGTTTATTTTGTTTGGTTCAATCATCTCCTTTTACTCTGCACTTCTCCATCTTTCTCTTTTTTTTGGTCATCTACTGTGTGATTCAACAAGGGTTTTGTTTCAGGATCATATAAACCATTTTATTTTTTCTCTAGTTTTTTGGTATCTTCTTTTGAGTTTAGTATTTTCTGTTTTTTTTCTTCTTGGTCATGAAGTAGTATTAAACCATAATCACCATTTCAGTTGCCATGAGTTATTGGTAAAGCCAAGACAACAACCATGTAAATTGGGGTGTATTTGGATTTATTTATGGGTATTAATAACTTTTTTTTATTAAATCTACTTTTTCCATGTTGAAGTTTGAGCTTTGATTTTGTCTTTATATGGTGAAAGGAAAATCTGGGTGTATTTTTCCCTTTACTGTTTGTCTAAGGTTTAGCATTATGATTTGGTATTTCATTGAATGTCTAGATACCCAAAACTGTCAAAGTTGTTCTTGACTTAATTATGAGTTTGAGAATTTGGTATTTCTTTACATTTTGACAATGGCTTGAAGGCCTTCAACAGTTAGACATGGAGTTCCATGTGTGTGACATGAACATTTAGAAGCATTTTGGGAATTTTAGAGCACACCTTCATTTTTAGTATTAACAGAGATTGAAATGGGAGCTGAGGCATGCAACATACATTTTTTAATACTACCATGATTTTAAGATCAGAGAAAATATGGGTACTGTCAATGATAAAGAATTTAATGGACCAGATCTTTAATAATAACTCTTAATATATGTTCTCTATGGATTTTAGGTGCTCCCCTGACTCATGAATGTAGTTGATTAAAACAGTAATGAAAGTAATTTTTGGTACTTGGAGAGTTCAATATTGGCGGGGAATAACATTTTTGAGTAGTATAAAAACAGCAAAAAGTAAACATTGTTAAAATGGTTCAATAATATACCACTTCTGGTTGAAATATCTGTATGATAAAAATGCCTGAACCCGGTAACTGGGTCCTTTTAGGCATTAACACACAGTTCTTAAATAGCATATAATTTCTATCATACATATGTGTGAGAAATTAGCATATCTGTGTCCTATTCTATTTGCGTCTCTTGTACATAGGTTGCCAAGTCTTGACTTTTTTGTACTTCAATATATAATTTAGCTATTGATTGTATTACATTCAGTTGTTTTGTTTGATGTCCTATTGAAATGACTATATTAAATTCTTATGTTGTCCTTTAGAAATAGGTCTATGTTGGTTTAGGTAGAATTTGATTATGTTCATATTCTCTTGGCCTGCTATGCATGATCTTATATCTTTTTATTGCTGAATATGTTATGCTCGTAATATACTTCTGTTATTGGGATCAGTAGTCTTTTTCTGCCCATTTTTTGGTCTGTTGCAGTAAGTGAAGGAAACAACTAGTGATTCAGTTGTTATATTTAAAAACTCTACATACTAATGTTGGCGCCAAGTCCAAAAGTTACCAAAGCCTGCCAGGCGATGAAGCAATATGGCATCCATCACATGACTGTGAAAACAGTATTGAAGGATCTTTTGAATGTGTATGACCACAATTGGAAACTTATTGAAGATAAAATTTATGCAGCTCCTTTAGATGCTATTTTTGAGCAGAAGGACCGCAATGTGTGCATTCTAGTTTTATTTTGCTTATTGCATTATTTTCACCACTGGAGTGTCTACGTTTGATTGGTTATTTTCCCTGCTTGTATTATTATTATTATTAATTTTACTATAGTCATTTGTCCACACTTAAAAGAACTGTTAAAATATTTATTTGTAATATTGATAGTACGCACTCTCTGTGTGAATGTACTGTTCATTCAACCTTATTGCCATTTTCAATTTTGGTCAAGCGTGAGTCAAGTGGCTGGTGTTTTTACTTTGACATTTGTATATTTTTTTACAGGTAAAAAGAGAGGCCACTAAAAAGCACGGCCCAAGGTTCACGTCAGCTCCTGCAAGAATGCATTGTAGGGAGGTGGCTCTAGTGTCTCAAACTAGTTGCAAACGGAAGGTGGCTGAGTCCAGCCATGTATTTCCTGGGGATAAGAAAACTGAAACAAGGATTGGTTCTCCCCTGAAATATTATGAAAGCAAAAGAAAGAAATCTTGTTCCCCAACTTGAAATAATTGTGAGTAAAAGGAGATACTCAAATTAAGAGTAAAACTCCGTATATATAGGCAAAATATAAAAATCATAGTAAGGGTAAAAAAGGAAAAAGAAATCCTAATAAACCTAGGAAAGAGAAATCCTAATAAACCTAGACTATCTATACTCCAACACTCCCCCTCAAGCTAGGCGCAAAAATGTCAACTAAGCCAAGCTTGACAACGGAGTCCCGAAGAATAGACAAAGTGACAGGTTTGGTAAAAACATCCGCAACTTGATCACTGGTCCCCACAAACGATGGAGTAACAAGACCACTGCTGACCTTCTCCCGAAGAAAGTGAACATCGATCTCTATATGCTTCGTTCTCTCATGTAGTACAGAGTCAGAAGCGAGCTGAATAGCAGATTGATTATCACAATATAATGTGGATGGAGAGGTCACTGAAAAACCCAACTCGTCAAGAATCGATCGTAGCCAGATAATCTCACATGTGCCAAGTGCCAATGCCCGATACTCTGCCTCTGCGGACGAGCGGGAGACAACTGCCTGCTTCTTGCTCTTCCAAGAGATAAGATGAGTCCCTCGAAAAGCACAGAAACCCGTAGTAGATCGACCATCACATGCTCCCCCATAATCTGAATCTGAATAACAGGCTAGAGAACCGGTCTGAGATCCTGATGCATAAAACAACCCAAGTCCAGGACAAGACTTGAGGTACCGAAGAATATGATAAACTGCATCAAGATGAGGCTGACATGGCCTATGCATGAACTGACTAACTCGGCTGACTGCGAATGAAATGTCCGGCCTAGTATTGGCTAAGTAGATAAGTCTACCTACCAATCTTTGATAAACTGTCGGATCTTTCAACTCCTCACCTTCAGCAGTAAGCTTCAGGTTTGGAATCATAGGTGATGATGCCGGTTTGCACCCCAACATCCCAGTGTCTGAAAGAAGATCCAAAACATACTTTCTCTGAGAAAGAACAATACCTCTGCTTCTACGGGCAACCTCAATCCCAAGAAAGTATCGCAGAAATCCAAGATCCTTCACATCGAAGGCCTTCCCAAGGTCTATCTTGACCTGCGCAGTCCCAGAAACATCATCACCAGTAATAATAATATCATCAACATATACCAGAAGGATGACACACTGTCCAGAAGTATTCCGTCGAATAAAGCAGGTATGATCAGAATGACACCTGGTGAACCCCAATCGTATGACTACATCACTGAAGCGAGAGAACCAGGCTCGTGGCGACTGTTTCAGTCCATAAAGAGACTTACGCAGTCGACATACCTTTCCAGCATACTCCCCCTCACCACGAAAGCCCGGTGGTGCATCCATATAAATAATCTCGTCCAGATCACCGTGAAGAAACGCATTCTTCACATCTAATTGATGAAGAGGCCAAGAGTACTCCGCAGCCAGAGAAATAATTAACCGAACAGTAGTCAATTTTGCCACGGGGGCAAATGTAGCACCAAAATCACGACCTGGTACCTGAGTAAAGCCCTTCGCCACAAGTCTAGCCTTGTAACGATCAATAGTACCATCCGCAAGAAACTTCAGGGTGTAAACCCAGCGACAGCCAACAGGCTTCACCCCTGAAGGTAAGGAGACAAGATCCCATGTATGATTACGCTGAAGAGCGTCCATCTCTGTCTGCATGGCAAGAACCCACTGGGGCTCCCGCATAGCTTCCGAAATAGGACCTGGTACCTGAGTAAAGCCCTTCGCCATAGTATAAGCTCGAAATGTGGGAGATAGATTACCATAAGAAACATAAGCAGAGATCGGATATAAAATCTTTGCGGTCCAACCATATCGATCAACTGGACGGCGATCATGTTGCGAGAAGGTGGCTTAAGCTCTGGATGGAGCTTCCAGCAAGTAGCTTCCACGGGTGAAACGCAATAGCAAAGTTTCACTATCAACAAAGGGAGATTACACAAAATTCTCTAATCTAGAGAATAAAACCAAACATGGATGCCCAAAATTGGGGGCCAAAAACTCCCCGTCCTGACTGAGAATACATCTCTGATAATGCGCTCCATAGCTTCGGAACAGAGCTATGAAACTGGTGGATCTTGCAAACAGAGGGCTCCATTGAGCCAAATAACCATCCAAGAATGGCACAGTTTTCAGAGAACCATGCAGAATATCCAGGGTCGGCATCAGCTGTCTTTGGGTGAGATCTTGTCAGCCAACCAAGCTTCCTTACACGTCCTAAGAAAAGCTGGAATGAGCGTGACCACTCAGCGAAGTTACGACCATTCAACAATTGTGCCGTAACTTTTTTGAGAGATCATGCCCGGTAATGCTGGTAATGCAACTAGACCCGTTGAGATCTCGTTCCAAGAACCTAGATTATATTAAAATCTAGACCCGTCTGAAGAACCCAAATTACAAGCAAGAACGCCACAAAGGATGTGATTTACCTTTGATAAATTCAAAAGTTCAATCAAGAACAAGAGGAGTAAACTCAACTCAATTCACAATCAAAATTCATTATAGATTGTCTCAACGGTAGAGGTGTCAACAGTAGGGTTCTCAAATCCCTCAGTAGTAGCCATATCAACAACAATACTGGGGCACCCGTGACAGAAAAATAACTCTAAGATAAATAGAGGAATAAAATAAGGGAGAACAATATACCTTCAGTCGAACAGTAGCGACAAATAGGGAAGGTCCAAAAAGCTCCCAAATAATCAAGTCACGGTGCCCAGAAATCCAAAATATATAAATAAGTGATCTACTGCATCAAGGGCAGATCAACAGAATGTACAAGACTAAGGCCTAAAATTGAACGGAAGAGATTGGGCAAAAACGAGGGCCAAGACGAAGCGACGGCTTGATCAAGGCGGACAGCGACGACGCCGTCACTTTAACCTCTCCTATTCAACTTTCAGGCAGTTGATGGCCAGGGTGGTTTCGGCGGTATGGCTGGTAGAGCCATACACTAACCCTACCCCAAACCCTAACCTCGCTCTGATACCAACTTGAAATAATTGTGAGTAAAAGGAGATACTCAAATTAAGAGTAAAACCCCGTATATATAGGCAAAATATAAAAATCATAGTAAGGGTAAAAAAGGGAAAAGAAATCCTAAAGGGAAAAGAAATCCTAATAAACCTAGGAAAGAGAAATCCTAATAAACCTAGACTATCTATACTCCAACACCCCACAAGCCTGTTTGGTGCTGGGACAAACAAAGCCATCCCGAATGTTTTCTAATGATAGAACAACTGAATCTGATTCTCAGTCTCCTCAGATGCATGCGACAGACAATGAACAAGCATCTTTCTCACTTGAAATTGTCCTAAGCAACAAACAATTAACTGATGAAAGATGCAGGCGTCTTGTGTTGTGGGAAGAGCCAAATGTTATTCCTACTAGTTGTCTTTCTCCCAAGGAAAATCTGCTTGGTAAGTATGACAATACTACTATGAGTCCTGAAAGTGAGCTGAATTCTGATGACCTGCCTCATTTTGAGAGTCCTCTTGCTATCATCCCTCTTGGTAAGCCCCTACTTGTAGCCCTCCAGCAAACACAAATATTAACTAAATGAGAAGGTTTTTTAAAAGCTCAAACATTAGTATGTTTGGAATCCTTATCTTATTACAGTGGTATGGCATGCTAGTCGAGCTTCTGTGTGTATATGTTATCCTGATACCCACACAAGGGGCAGAGCTTGGATTTAAACAAGGCTAAAGTTGAGGGTCAATAAAGTTTCTTTTCCAGTTGTAACTTTAAGAAAAGAAGGTACCCTACTATATGTTATCAATTAATTTCCAAATGAACGATATGATCATTCACTTTCGACTTTGAATGTCCACGATAAAAAGATAGGAGGATCTTTCATGAGATGTTTATCTTGTTTCTATTGCTGAAATATCATGCTCTTAAAGTTCTGTACAGTTCAACTGGACACAAAGTCGGTTTATGTCGGAGATATAGAAATAGTCTAATTTATTAGGGCTTATTAAGTTTTCTTTTTACCTTTTTATCCTTATTGTAACTTTCATTGACTATATATATAGGACTTTACACTTAGTTTGTATCCCTTTTTTTCTCTTCTAAATATTTCAAGTTGGTATCAGAGCCATACACTAACCCTACCCCAAACCCAAACCCAAACCTTCTCCCTAACCTTAGCCTCCACCGAGACTGCCTCACTGGCAAACCGACTGCCCATCCTCATACCAGTCAATACACTGACTGCCGAAACCCATACCAGGCCACCCCAACTGCCTAGGCCACATCGACAGCCCCAAAGCCTACCACCGATTGCCCATCCTACCAATCCTTATCCTCATAACAGCCTTCTAGCCCCTAGCTGCAACACCGAAACACTCCAGTACACTCAGCAACACCGAAACCGCCGACTGCTCAGGCAACAAACAATCTTCACCTACTGCCTCTATATCACCAACCAGCGACTGACCCCAATAAACATACTGCCCAATAACCACACCGACAAACACATATACCACACCAATACACACGACGCCCAACCTACTGTCGGGTCGTGTTTCTCGTTTTAGCTTCATCTTTTGCACTCTTCGTCACAGTGCTACCAGGTTGCAGTATCTAGGATTCCCTTTTGTTTATGAAGGGTTAAATCCTCTTCTTTGTCCATTGATCTGCTCTTGATGCAGTAAGATCATTTATATTTATTGAATTTCTGGGCACCGTGACTTGATTATTTGGGAGCTTTCTGGACCTTCTTTATTTGTCGCTACTGTTCGATTGGAGGTATATTGTTCTCCTTTATTTTATCCCTCTATTTATCTTAGATTTATTTTTCTGTTACGGGTGCCCCATTATTATTGTTGATATGGCTACTGCTGATGCTATTGTGGGACTTGAGTCCTCTACTGTTAATACATCTACCGTGGAGGCTTCTATTAGTATTTCCACCGAACATGTACTGCCTGTTTCTCCTACTTTTATGTTTGACTAGTACACAGTACCTACTGACACAGTTACTTTACCGACAATGCCGGGAATGATCTCTCAGAAGGTTACGACACCGTTGTTGAATGGTCGTAACTTTGTTGAGTGGTCACGTTCATTCCAGCTTTTCTTGGGCCGTGTAGGGAAACTTGGTTGGCTGACAAGATCTTACCCAAAGCCAACTGATGCCGACCCTGGATATTCTGCTTGGTTCTCTAAGAACTGTGCCAGTCTTGGATGGTTATTTGGCTCAATTGAGCCATCTGTTTGTAGGATACATCAGTTTCATAGCTTTGTTCCAAAATTATGGAGCGTATTATCAGAGATGTATTCCTAGTCTGGATGGGGAGTTTGTGTTTATGAGCTTTCTCAGGAGCTCTCATATGCTCACTAGGGAGATATGACTGTTTAGGATTATTATGACTATTTGACTTAGCGTTGGCTTGAGTATGAGACTCTACGTCCTCTTGCTGCTATTCCGAGGATAGAGCCCAAGGTAACATCATTCTTGCATACTTAAGAGCAGGATAATAGGATTCACAAGTTCCTTATGGGGCTTCGTGATGAATTTGAGGGACTTCGTTCCCAGATCTTATCAATGTTGACGCTTCCTTCTCTTTATGAGGTGTATGCGATGATTGAGCAGTATGAGCACAGCGTCCGTATTGCATCATTTCCAGTTGCGGCCTTGACTCCTCCAGCTGATCATATGACCCTTGTAGCAGCTGTAGGGTCACGTTCAGGATCCTCAGTCAGGGGTGGGCAGCGCTCGGACCAGTGCTGTCAGGGTGCTCCAGATCAGCGCAGACAGGGGGATTCTCGTTAGTGTGATTATTGTGGCCGACCGGGATATCTCAGGGCTGCTTGTTGGAAGTTTCATCCAGAGCTTAAGCTGTCTCCTCGTGGTCGTACTGCTGCTATTGCTGAGCTACCACTAGTTACTACAACTCCTCCTCCTTGGCAGAGTGATATAGATGCTATCACTTCCCGATTGGACATACTTATGTCCGCTCTGACTTCTTAGAGTCCAACTACTACTACAACCACCACTACAGGTATACCTCGTGCCTTTCATGCTTGTGCCAGTTTGTCTCCTCTTTGGATGCTGGACTCGGGTGCGAATGGTCACATGACAGGTGAGGCCCATCATTTCACCATTTTTGACGAGCAGTTACATACACAAGTTCAGTTAACAGATGAGACATATGCCCCTATTGTTAGTAGGGGAACAGTCCGCCTCCCTGATGGCTTTACATTATGTTCGATTTTTCATGCGCCAAAGTTGGCCATGAATCTATTATTTGTACATCAGGTAGCCAGAGATTTTTACTATATGGTTGTGTTCTTATCTGATTCATGTTATTTGCAGGACCTGAGTACATGGAGGATTATTATCAGGGGACATAAGAGAGAGATGAACTATATTTTCTAGGCGATCCGCCTCCAGTTTCACCAGTTCCTCCACCTACATCACCTGCACCTACTTTATCTTTATCTGTTCCTAGCTTGCATGCTAGTATTTTACCTAGTAATTGTCGTTATGATTTTTCGTCACAAACAATTCAATTGTGGCATGATCGTTTTGGACATACAAATTTTAAATATTTATGTATGTTGTTTTCTGTTTTGAGCAATGCTTGTATTGGTGGTAAACTTGACTGTGTTATATGTTCCCTATCAAAACATGTTAGGACCAGTTATATTCCTCGCATGCACCAGTCACCCAAGCCATTTGACCTAATACACTCTGATATTTGAGAACCCTCTCCTGTTACTGCTCTATCAGGTGCCTGATACTATGTGACATTTATAGATGACCATACCCGTTGTACTTGGGTTTACTTTTTGCATAAGAAGTCTGATGTACTCCCTATAATCACTCAATTTTTACAAATGATTAACACACAATTCGATGTTATTATTCGTGCTCTTCGTTTAGATAATGCCAAGGAATATGTGTCTGATGTCTTAGTGTCTCACCTTTCTTCTCAAGGTATCCTTCAACAATTCACTTGTCCATATACTCCTGAGCAAAATGGCGTTGCTGAAAGGAAAAATAGGAGTCTGATAGGGATTGTACGTTGTATGCTTAGAGGCATGGGGGTGCCAAAATCTTTTTGGCATTTTGCTATTTTGACTTCTATCTTTCTGTGCAATCGTACGTCCAGTCGTGTTCTTCAGCATAGGGCTCCCTTGCAGGTTTTATTTTTTGACCGAACACTTTTTTCAGTCCCTCCTTGTGTTTTTGGATGCACATATTTTGTTCAAGATCGGTCTCCTACTCATCATAAGCTTGATGATAAAACAATTCGTTTGTGTCTTTGTGGGCTATTGTAATAAGTCTAAGGGGTATCAGTGTTATGATCCTGTTAGGCGTCGTATGTATCACAGTCTAGATGTTACCTTTCTTGAACATATTCCTTATTTTTCTTCCAGTCTTGTGTCTGTCCCTCTAGTTGATGATACTTCCTTTGATTTTCCATTACCCCCGGAGCCAGAGCCATTGGTCACTATCACTAAAGAGTTATCTGTCTTTCCTCTTCCAGAACCACTCATCCCTGGTACAGAGTCACCGGCCTATCTTCCTTTGCAGGTTTCTATTCGTCGCCCTCGCTCTTATCCCTCTGCTAATGTCCCCTCTACCTCAGGCGATGTAGGTAATACTTCTCAGTTTGTTGAGTATATTGATGCACCTGTTGTTAGTATTGATGAGATTGTAGGCATCGAGCCAGTTGTTTTACCTGATGAGACATTGTCAGTGGAGGATGGTGATTTAGAGCATCGTTATCCGCGACGTGATCGTCGTCCAGTTGTTCGTTATGGTTGGACGATCAAGATTTTATACCCGATCTCTGCTTATGTTTCTTATTGTGATCTGTCTCCTACATTTCGGGCTTATAGTATGGCCTTATCATCTACGTCGGTTCCTCGCTCTGTTTCAGAGGCTATGCAGGAGCCCTAGTGAATTCTTGCCATGTAGACAGAGATGGACGCTCTGCAGCGTAATCATACATGGGATCTTGTATCTTTACCTTCAGGGGTGAAGCCTGTTGGCTGTCGCTGGGTATACACCCTGAAGTTTCTTGCAGATGGTACTATTGATCGTCACAAGGCTCGACTTGTGGCGAAGGGCTTTACTCAGGTACCAGGTCATAATTTTGGTGCTACCTTTGCCCCTGTGGCAAAATTGACTACTGTTCGACTAATTATTTCTCTGGCTGCGGAGTACTCTTGGCCTTTTCATCAGTTGGATGTGAAGAATGTATTTCTTCATGGTAATCTGGACGAGATTATTTATATGGATGCCCCACCGGACTTTCGTAGTGAGGGGGAGTATGCTGGAAAGGTATGTCGACTGCGTAAGTCTCTTTATGGACTTAAACAGTCACCACGAGCCTGGTTCTCTCGCTTTAGTGCTGTAGTTGTACGTTTAGGGTTCACCAGATGTCATTCTGATCATACCTGCTTCATTCGACGAAATATTTCTAGACAGTGTGTCATTCTTTTGGTATATATTGATGATATTATTATTACTGGAGATGATATTTCTGGGACTGTGCAGGTTAAGGAGACCTTGGGAAGGCCTTCGATGTGAAGGATCTTGAATTTTTGAGATACTTTCTTGGGGTTGAGGTTGCTCGTAGCAGCAGAGGTATTATTCTTTCTCAGAGAAAGTATGTTCTAGATCTTCTCTCAGACTCTAGGATGCTGGGGTGCAAACCGGTGTCATCACCCATGATTCTAAATCTGAAACTTACTGCTGAAGGTGAGGAGTTGAAAGATCCGTCTGTCTATCAGAGGTTGGTAGGTAGACTTATCTACTTAGCCAACACTAGGCCAGATATTTCATTCGCTATCAGTCGAGTTAGTCAGTTCATGCACAGACCATGTCAGCCTCATCTTGATGCAGTTTATCATATTCTTGGGTACCTTAAGTCTTGTCCTGGACTTGGGTTGTTCTATGCATCAGGATCTCAGACTGGTTTTCTAGCCTATTATTCAGATTCAGATTATGGGGGAGCATGTGACGGTCGATCTACTACAGGCTTCTATACTTTTCGAGGGACTCATCTTATCTCTTAGAAGAGCAAGAAGTAATTAGTTGTCTCTCGCTCGTCAGCAGAGGCAAAGTATTGGGCACTGACACTTGGCACATGTGAGATTATCTGGTTACGATCGATTCTTAGCGAGTTGAGATTTTCAGTGACTTATTCATTTACATTATATTGTGATAATCGATCTGTTATTCATCTTGCTTCTTACTTTGTATTACACGAGAGGACGAAGCATATAGAGATCGATGTTCATTTTCTTCGGGAGAAGGTTAGCAGTGGTATTGTCACTCCATCGTTTGTGAGGATTAATGATCAGGTTGTAGATATTTTTACTAAACTTGTCACTCTATCCATTCTTTGGGACTCTATTGTGACTTAGTTGACATTTTTGCGCCTAGCTTGAGGGAGAATGTTGGAGATATAGCAATAACCTAATTTATTAGGGCTTATTAAGTTTTCTTTTTACTTTTTTTATCGTTATTGTAACTTTCATTGGCTATATATACATGGCTCTACACTTAGTTTATATCACT